GATTGCGACTTGGGCGCTTGGCCTAGCTTTTAATGGAACCAAACATTATTTGTAAAAAGAACACTCCTATCTGTTGTTATTTTTTTAGGCATGGTTAGAAAATTGTATCTAAAAACAAAGTATGAATGTGTAAAATATACAGTATGTGATTACAAAGGCATAATTGTGGAAGAAGGAACTTGTCACCCAGAATGAGCAGGTGTATCCCCTTCCAGATTCCTGGGATGTGGAGCTTTGGTGCTGCCCAGAAAGTAGGGTCAGAACAGCCCCACCCTCTCCTTAATTGGAGAATTTGTCCCATAAAACAGACCAGAAATCAAGAATCTCCAGCATAGGAAAAGAAACAGCAAGTCTTGGAAGAGAGGACTGTGAGTGTTGGTGGGAGAGAAAAGCCCCATTCACAAGTCTATAGAGGAGTGAAGAGGGGTTTCACATGCAAAAGGACTGAGACCGGCTACAAGAGCTGAAAACCTGGAGAAACAAGAAAAACTCAAAGAGCCAGGAAACAATTAAGATAGAAAAATATAGTGCTACCAACATAGAGATAGGAACATAGAGATAGACATTCATAGATTAAATAAAATAGATGTAGTTGTACAGTTATAGGAACAGGAAAACTCTAGATAAGGGTTTCTCAACAGCAACTTTTAAGAGGTATGGACTTCAACTTCCAGAATTCCTCAGCCAGCATGCCAGTTAGGGAATTCTGGGAATTGAAGTCCATACCTCTTAAAGCTGCTAAGGTTGAGAAATACTGCTCTAGATTAAGACAGGTAAGAAAATAGAAACAAGCAAAGAATTAGCATTAAGATTAGAAGTAAGGAACAGGACTTTAATTTTGTGTAATAAAACAGTTTTTATGGGGGGAAAAAACCAAATTCAGTCTTTGTGTCTGTGATCTGTGCCAGATTAAGAAAAAGCCTAACAATCATATAGGAATGCCATCAGGAAACTGGGATGGCCTGCTCTTGGCTGGACCTAATTAATATTGGATGGGAGACCACTAGAAACCCCAGGGATATAGACTATACTGAAAGGTAAAAAAACAACACCACCCACACGTCATCATGGAAGACAATGACAAATCACTTCCATGCTGTTGCTACGAAAACTTCACACATGTCCATGAAGTCACCAGGAATCAAGTTTGACACAAAACAGACTTTAGTTTATTTACCCTTGTAAAATAACTTTCTAGTACCATGGCTTGCCACCATACAATGTAAATAATAATTCAGAGATAGGAATTGTTTGATTTGGAAATAATTTCATTTATCTTTACAAACTTTAACTAAAAAAATAATATAAATATTTTTGGAATATATTTTTACTAGTCCCACTAGATGGCACTAAAGTTGTATTCTCGTTATACTTTTGCTAACTTTTTTTGCTGACTTATCAGCACTAACTAGACAAGGAACTGCTGACCTCAGAGAAGATCATAACCTCGTGGACAGTGATAAACTTTGGCCCAAGACAAGAATAATGTAGAATAAGTTCCTATTACTGCAAGAAGCAAGAAGATTAAATAGTAGATCTCAGCAGAGTACCCCTACCATCTCCCGAGCAGGGAGAAAATACCATATTATTATAAAATTGGAAGACATGCAGCAACTATGATAACCAGGAAAACCTGCTATTCAGCCTCAAGCAAAGGAGAGCCATTCACTTCTCACGTCTCATCATCAAACATATTAGGAGTTTTTTCCTAAATCTGAGCAAAAAACTACTACCTCAAAATTTTGACTCACTGGTTATAGATCTGCCCTTTGCCCCAGAAGAGAGTAAATCTGGTCCTCCTCCTACATGCAGTTCTTCAGATGAAGGACGATGAATATTACAAGACAATCTTCCCAAGAAATAGGAAACACCGATGACATATTGTCTTAAGCGCACGTTTTGAACTGACCAAATGAAATTGAAACCAGGGCAGTTTTGATCCAACTCACAGAGCTGTTGCTTTGTGGGGGGTGGGGGGCACAGAGAGTTTTTAAAAACTTATATACATGCGCTTAGTCTACTGGAGGCTTTGCTCATTTCGTCTCTAAAATTTTCTGCCAAAAATCAGCAGAAAATCACACCACTGTTACTGGTAGTCCTCTGGTTATGACCACTAGTTCAGTGACCGTTCAAAGTTATGACAGCACTGAGCGAGGGGGATTTATGACCAGTCTTTGAGTTGCGGCTGTCACAGCATCCCTGCAGTCACATGATTGCGACTTGGGCGCTTGGCAACCAGCTCACAATTACAATGGTTGCAGCGTCCTGTGGTCATGTGATTGCCATTTGCGACATTCCCTGCCTACTTCCCTAAGCAAAGCCAATGGGGAAGCTGGGAGGAGGTTGCAAGTCACTCCTGCAAGTCGTTACTGTTCCTGTCACTTTTTCACCTGCCCACCCATGCTCCTTAAATGCCCGCCCATGGCACCCACCTGCCTGTAGCTCTTGCCTGCCAGACTGCTTGCCTGGGACTCCTGCCTCTTCCCACATCAGAGTCATGTGAGGTCCTTGCTTAACGACCTGCATGGTCCTGGGTTACAACAGCAACCAGGACTGCTGTCGCTAAGCAATGCAGTCATGTGACATCACACTTTACAACTACATTGCTTAGTGATGGAAATTCCGGTCCCAATTGCTGTCATAACCCAAGGACTACCTGTATTGGGCTTCTTGGTGTTGAGTTCTGGTGGACAACATTGGAGTGCAACTGGCCCACAGCTACAGAATGATAGTTAGGGGTGGTTGGTGGTTGCCTACCTGTCCCACTGGAAGAGGTCTGTGTGAGGTCAGTGCTGCTGTCACTTGTGGGAGACGTCTGTTGGGGGGCCTGATGCACCTGGATGGCTTGCACAGGAACTTGTTGAGCCACTGCACCACCTGGGAAGCAAGACAGGCTGCTTTTAGTATCTGCTATTGCTTGAATCCCTTGACTTTGGTTGACAAGATATGTTGGATGCCTTTTCAAAACAATTACAGCAACTCATCATCCCTCCACTTTGTTACAGCAGCTTCTTCAAAGTTGTTTTTAAGAAATTGTTCAAACAATATTGCCTTCACCCACAGCAATGTCAGAAATTAGAAGCCAATGAAGGAGAAATTAAATAAGACAAGGTAAATATGATGAGTTGTAGGAGTTTCTATATTTAAAATAAAACACAATATATAAGAAGTGATAGCTTTTGTAATTTAGGATAATGCAGTTATCTAGTAAGCAGGCATTTCCAAGAAATATGGATATAACCAAAACTAATCTTAAAATTATCACAAAGCAAACAAGCAAGAAAAAGCAGCGTTTTTGAAAACTAATCATAAACCCAAACATGCAAGAGATACAATGAAAGCTAAATGTTCTTAAAGCAAAAAAAGACTTAACTTGAAAAGCACACCAGTGTGATGTAGTGTTGAACTGAAGTTGAACTGACAGCGGGGAGACCCAGGTTCAAGTCAACCCTCAGCCACAGAAGTTCACTGGATGAGTTTGGGATAGACACTCTCAGTCAACCAGACCTACCTCACTGGGCTGCTGTTGTGGGGCAAAGTGGGAAGAGGGAGCACTACAAATGGTGCCTTGAGCTCCTGAAGAAAAGGTGGGAAATAAATATCAAGGATCTGTCAAAAGGGAAGATTTTCCCAACCTGATGCCTTTTAGAAATATTGTACTTTTAACTACCACGAACTATAACTTCCAGGACCCAGCAGACACGGCTAATGACTTTTCTGGCTGAGGATTTTAGCCAGGAGGCTTCTGGCAAGCACCAGGTAATGTTAACAACTGTTCCCAAAGGGTTCAACCAGGAAGATCAACTAGCTAAGTATAAAGAAAGCCGTCGTCTTTTGCTCCTCAGCAGTTCAGATTTCGAAAGCTGTAGTACCCACGAATAGAAAGAATCCATTTGGCTGCAGTGCATAATTCCTTCCATGATTATATTTGTATAATTAATTCTATGATGTATGTTTGTGTATGACTGTGTGTGTATACATACATAGTTCATGTATATGCTAATCCTAGGTTAATTCTATTTCATGTGAGGAAACAGAATTAATTAAGTCACTGGTCTGAGATGGGCGGCTACACAAATTGAATGAATGAATGAACATTAAAATATCACCAACCCGCAAAATGTAACAACGTATTGTAGAGTTAATAAAATCTTTCTACGTTTCTTCATTCTGCAATGTACAAGTTGCAGGAAGAAGCCAAAAGTGGAATACCTAACAGACTCATTGTTTTGCATCAGCACTCTTTCTCATCCTTTTCTCATCCATTCAGAGCACAGAATATAGCTAAAGGAATATTTACTCCCCCCCCCATTCAAAAGGATTCCCTTTGTCCACCAGCAACCAAAACAATGCATGCATAAGCAGCCAAGTAGGAGGTCAAGAGGAAGGGCCTCCTAGTAAAGCATTTGCTGTTGCCACCATGACTTGTACGGGTTCCTGCTCTTTCTCACCAAGCACATTTGATGGGACATGCAGATCTAAGTCTCCAAATTTAAGTCTCTAAGTCTGGCTACTTGATCATATACCTTCCATTTCATTTTTACCTATTTTAATCCAAGTATTCTATCCACCGCGGCCTTTCCATACCAGTATTTATCAAACTGTGAAATAGCCTTAAAGACAAACACACCATGCTCTTTCTTTTTCTCTCTTACTCTTTCTCCCCTTTAAAAAAGGATCTGGCAAACACAAATTGGGCTGTCAACTGGATGCCTCCTACAGTACACAAATATCAGCAAATTGCACCAGGTATAATCATAGAACCGTATAAAGGTAAGAATTAGCTTAAAAACCAACTTTATTCAAATTTCAGGCATCTTGTATAAAAATAGTAGCCCAACCTGGCAGCAGCATGTAGTTAACTTTGGATGATCTTGAAAAGCTAAGTAGGGTCAGCTGTGGTTAGCAAGATGGGAGGCTGCAAAGAAATCCCAGGGCAGGAGTTGGATTTGGAAGTTGAAAAAACATCTTGGGAAAAAGAAAACCTTCTACGGAACAAATTTAGTGGACATTGCCCACTTCATATGACCCACGGCAAAGCTTAGTAAAAGAATTTATTTAGTAAAAGAATTAGAGAACCAGTTTGGTCTAGCGGTTGAGGCACAGCAGGAGACTCTGAGTTCGAGTTCCGCCTTAGGCATGTTGGCTGGGTGACCTTGGGCCAGTCCCTCTCTCTTAGCCCAACCCACCTCACAGGGTGGTTGTTGCAGGGAAAATAGGAGGAAGGAGTAGTATTGGGCATGTTCGCCACCTTGAGTTATTTATAAAAATAATAAAGGCGGGATAAAAATCTAAAAAAAAAAGTTTGCATTTTCCGGCAAAACCTTCTGGAATTTTGTACAATCTGGTCTCATTGTTACTACCATGAACTGATCTTCCATAAACAGAAACTAATGCCAACAATAAGCAGTTTGGGAACTCTTCAGATTATTTAACCACATCTCCCATAATCCATAATCACTGGCTACACTGACAAGGGCTTATGGACAGCTATAGTCCAAAATCTGTAAGGTACAGTTTGTTTTCTCCCGGGCTACCAGGAGAGCCAGTTTGGCATAGTGGTTAAGGTACCGGGCTAGAAACTGGGAGACTGTGAGTTCTAGTCCTGCCTAAGGCATGAAGGCATCTGGGTGACCTTGGGCCAGTCACTCTCTCTCAGCCCTAGGCAGCAGGCAAGGGAAACCACTTCTGAAATCTTGCCAAGACAACCGCAGGGACTTGTCCAGGCAGTCACCAGGAGTCAATGCTGACTTGAAGGCATACATACACATACACACCAGTTCCACAATGCTTTCATCATTTCACAAATGGCATCCCATCCAAGGAAACACAAAAGGGATGACGTTTTTGTTCAGCACTGTCCATGGACATAGTCAAGGCATTGAGTTGCTTGATGGATGAATTTCAGTTATTGGAGCATGAGGATACTGATGGGGGAGAATTGTGGCTTCTTTGGGTATTGCCCTTCCTAGTTTATAATACCTAGCAAGGTAAGTTTGATTGGCTAGTTCCAGCAAGTAAAAAAACCACCCTCTTTCTAAGAAGTGACCCCACTTCTTAGTTACTAAATGAAATGAAAACAACAGAATCTTATGACATCTTAACTACTTTCTCTGAGCTACAGTCCACTTCATTCTAATGCATGAAAGTAATGAAAACATTAACTGTTATAAATGAAATAGTCTGGCAGTAGGCTCATGTACAGCAGTAAGCATTATATTAACCATGGTTTATTGAATGGCTGGGTTCACATAATACACTAAATTGAAACCATGCATATTACACTTAAGCACAATGTGCAACTCCCACCTTTAGTATTTTTGCTGCAATTTACAAGGTTACCCTTCTGCGACCTGAAATAGACAATGACATAGCTATTCATAAAGCAGAAATCTTTGGATCCTCACAATTATGTCAACTGGTCACAACTTTACTCAAGCAAGTGGCTTCTCAGTGGTTATCATTAATAACCTGGATTCATTTCAACTGAGTTTATGTCTAGAAGTTATCTCCAAGATTGATTTGGTGGCCCTGATAGGTGTTCTGTGTCAGGAAGAAGACAAAGGGAAGGATAGTTCTGGAAACTGTTCTAAATTTCTCTGTGGGTTGGTTTGCATCACACATTAGACTGAAAAAGGACTGGATTGTTTGTGATTCAGCATGCTGTGGGAACCCAGCCATTGTCTTAGCATGTTGTGTAAACCAGGACATCACATTAAACCTTAATATGGTTTATTTCTTTAGGCATTATACATTATGTGAATTCAGCAATTGTGTTGTTAACCTAGATTTAGGGTTAGTGTATCATATGAAGCCAGACATTTTTTGATGCTTTATTTTGTTCTTGCCCCATCTCTGAATTACCTTCCCAAAGAGACTAAAGCAACACCCAATTTTATTTTCTTTACAAGTGTCAGATAAAAGAATATTTTATTTACTTAGACGGTTTAAATCAGTCAGTTTCAATTGTTCTGAAAAAATGGTAGAACCTAATGAATGAGTTAAAAACATTATACTTGTTCATTTATTTATTGAGAAAAATGATCCAAAATTACATATTTGTGTGCGGCAAAAGCATGTGAACCTTTAGGATTATCAGTTCATTTGAAGGGGAAATTAGTTCTTTTTATTAGTTCTGGGACTTGTGTGAAGAACAGATCACATTTTAGGTCATATTTATGCAGAAATATTGAGAAGGGTTCACAAACGTTTAAGCACCACTGTAAATTTCACATTTCACATCCTGCCAAAGTTTAAGGAAGGTACACAAATGATGAAAAATGCAGCAGCCATGATGGCAACAACATTAACTAATGCAGGATAAGAGCCAGTGTGGTACAACAGTTAAGGGGTTGGAGTAGGAGTGAGGAGACCTGGGTTCTAGTCCACCCTCTGCCATGGAAGCTCATTCTGGGTCAGTCATAATCTCAGCCCAACCTACCCCTCAGGATTGTTGTGGCGGGGCAAAATAGGAAGAAGGAACATTATGTACGCTGCCCTGAGTCCCCATACATAAAAGGCAGGATATAAAGCTTATAAACAAACAAATAAATAAATCTACTCAGTATTGTCTATGATTGATAAAACTCTATAAGATATTAGATTGCTTTATTTATTTTCTTTCAAACGTAACGCCACTTCCAAATGGTTCTGGGTGTCTTCCTATATACGTATACAGACATAAAAATACAAGCAATGACATAAATATCTACACATTCTAAAATGACTGGATAAAATGAGAGGAGTTTAAAATCCCCCTAATCCCCAGCCTGATATTTCCAAGCACCTGAACTTTCTACCAAGGGTCCACATTGACTCTATCTTTGATTATCTTCTGGTGGTCAGCAAAAACATCCTGTTTCAATTTCCTTCGTAGA